GGGCTGCCCTCAGGCCCCGGCTCACCTGGCATGCGCGTGAGCGCATGCCCGGCATTGCAGCGCTCAGAGATGGGGGCAGGGGATCAAGTTCAGGGCTGTCCTCAGCTACACAGTGAGTGAGTTAAAGGTCAGCCTGGACTACGTGAGATCCTGGCCAAGAAAGGAAAGTGTGGGGGATTGTGACTGGGGTTGTGTGGACCGGCTAAGCAGGGGGAGCGGCCAGCGCCACTGTCTGCGAATCTGATGGTGGACCCGTCAGGCAGAGGCTCCTCTCTGAGACTCAGTTTCCCCCGGTGTTCAGTCTATTAGACCGATGAGTCAAGAAAGTCTGTTATTGCCGGGCGTTGGTGGCACACGCCTTTAATCCCAGCACTCGGGAGGCAGAGGCAGGCGGATCTCTGTGAGTTCAAGGCCAGCCTGGTCTACAGAGCGAGTTCCAGGACAGGCTCCAAAACAATACAGAGAAACCCTGTCTCGAAAAACAAAATAAGAAAAAAAAAGTCTGTTATTAATGACACTTGCAGGAAGACAGGGGCGGTGCTGTGAGGGACAGACGAAGCTATGTCTGCCTGGGTACTGAAGGGGACTCCCCTCACTGAGAGTTTGAGTCTACTGCCTCCTACACGGTAGGCGGGCCCCACCCTGACCACGCCCCTAGCCCCTCACTGGGGGATTCTAGGCGGGCCCCACCCTGACCACGCCCCCATCCCTACACTGGAGGATTTTAGGAGGGGCCCCACCCTGACCACGCCCTCAGTTTACTTTTCAGAGGGTTTCACTAAGTCCCCACACTGGCCTGAAACTCAATAAACTCACTCAGCATTCCAAGAAGTCCCATGTCACAAGCAGGTGACACGGGTGGACTTGAGTCCTGTACCAGGCCGTCAGTCACTGTCTCCTGAGATCCCAGCTGCGAGGCTGCAGGTCTTTGTGCAGTCGTCACAGATGACCAGTATTTGGAGCATTTCCAAGGAGATACAAAGAATCAGAGCGACCACAGAACCAGGGGACGGACCAGGCCGTGAACCAGGGCCCCCATGGGTCCCATTAGCAGAACCGGCCAGGTGACATCGGCATCCACCAGCGGTGTCGTGGATTTCCAAGGATGCTACAGGGCGGGACTAAAGGGCAGGATGACCTCCCAGTCACCCCTAAATTCTCAATCCCCTTCTGCCTGAAGGACAGAGAACAGTTATGGGCCCCACCCATACACTGTAATGTAGTTCAATGGCCTGAGTTTTTAAATCTTGCTGTTAATTCGACTTTCATTTTATTTAATAGGGGGGGGCAGTATTTGCTGATCTTTCTGTGTGCCACGTGGGTGCAGTACCTACAGAGGCCAGCGGGGGCGTCGGGTCCCCAGAGCTGGAGTCAAAGGCGGTTGAGAGCCCCGTGTGAGCGCTGGGAAAAGAGCCCAGCCCTTTGCAAGAGCAGCCGGAGCGCTAACCACTGAACCCTCTCCCACAGGGGCATATGATGGACCCACTCCAGATACGGGTATGGAAGGATTGGTACTTTGAAGTCAGCCTGGGCAACCAAGCAAATTAAAAACAAAACAAAACCCGGGTGTTGGTGGTGCAGCCTTTAATCCCAGCACTCGGGAGACAGAGGCAAGCGGGTCTCTGTGAGTTCGAGACCAGCCTGGCCTACAGGGCGAGCTCCAGGACAGCCAGGACTGTTTCACAGAAAAACCCTGTCTCGAAGACAAACAAAAAAGTAGAGGAGGCGGAGGAGAGAGGCTCAGAGGTTACAGCACCGGCCGCTCCCGCAGAGGACCTGGGTTCAGCCCCTCTGCCCACACGGTTACAGCTCTGGGCACAATTGCAGTCACTCGTCTCTTTCCAGAGACCTCCACGGTAGCTTGTGGCTGAGGTACCAGCTCTCTCCACCTGGCAAGGCTACCCAACGTGGACAGGAAGTATCTGCTTCCTTGTGGAGATGGCAGAGCTGTGCTGCAGGAGCGGTGTGGGGTGGCTGTGCCAAACGGGGACAGCAGGAGGACCCAGCGCCTCACTCACACCTTAGGAAACGGGGCTCACGGGGAGCACACCCATCACACCTGGATATGGCTCAGATTAGCTGCAGACCCCAGATAAATCCATGCCTCAGTTTCCTTTGCTGCCATCTGTAACCAGGGTTCGTCAGACCTTGGCGGCAGCAAACGAGGAAGACCGAAAGCATTGCTGCGTGGCTTCAGCAAGGGCCTCACCTCTCAGGACTGGCTCAGCAAAGACAAATTTCTTGCCTTAATTCTGACTTTTTGCTCTCAGTCACATGCTAGATGCCTCATTCTTGGCACAGACATTCCTCTCTCTATCCCCAGCCAGCTTCCTCAAAACTCCTGCCCACTCCAGGAAAGAAATAATATATTTTTGGATTCAATTCCTGTTTTCAAAAGAGGACTGAGAAGCAACCATAAGCAGATAGGACAGACAAGGTCTGCAGCTCAAACCCCTAAAACTACATCAGTGTTTATGAGGGAAACACATCACTAGGTTCACAAGCCACTGCAGGAAGGTGACAGGGCTGAACAGTGTTTATGATGTGTCCTTAACAGACAGTAAGGGACCAGCTGGGGAGGACTAGGGGGATTCTATCCTGAAAATGGACGCATAAATCCATCCACCCATCCACCCACCCATCCATCCATCCACCCACCCACCCATCCATCTACCCACCCATCCATCCATCCATGCATGCATCCATCCATCCACCCATCCAGCCATCCACCCATCCATCTACCCACCCATCCATCCACCCACCCACCCATCCATCTACCCACCCATCTACCCATCCATCCACCCATCCATCCATTCACCCATCCATCCATCCACCCACCCATCCACCCATCCACCCATCCATCCATCCATCTACCCACCCATCCACCCACCCATCCATCCATCCACCCACCCATCCACCCATCCATCCATCCACCCACCCATCCACCCATCCATCCATCCATCCATCCATCCACCCACCCATCCACCCACCCATCCATCCATCCACCCACCCATCCACCCATCCACCCATCCATCCATCCATCCACCCATCACCCATCCACCCATCCACCCATCCATCCATCCACCCATCCACCCATCCATCCATCCACCCATCCATCCATCCACCCATCCATCCATACATCCACCTATCCATCCTTCACTCTGCATTTACTGAGCTCCACCTGTGTGTAGTGTCACGGTGCTGTGCCCTGGGAATACAGGAGTGAAGAAGGCAGATTCAGTCCCCACCCTTTTGCTGTCTCTACTGTGTAATTAGAGATACAATCGGTTAAGCAAGGACTTTGAATACAGATCTGAATGATAAGGAGGACAGAGAATGGCAGGGCTGTCTAAGAAGCCTCAGGAGCCGAGCCTTGGGCTCAGACTCTCCTGGAGGGGTGCAGAGGCTGGGAGCTGAGGTGACGCTCGTGTAAAGGCCCTGTGGTGGAACCAGTGATGCTCCTGAAGGGACAGGCCACAGGCTTGATGGCCCAGGGAGAACGGGAAAGACAAATGACCAGTGTGACGCCAATTTAGTCCACAACCGCGCAAGCCCTAACTCAGAAGAGGGCATCAGGCAATGTGGTATTCTTAAATGCTCTGCCCAGTACTGGAGGCCAGAATCCGTGCCCTTACAGGCACTATGTAAGAGAAAGAGACCCACCCCAGCCCCTCACTGCGGAACTCTAGGTGGGGCTCCCCACGAACAGTACTCTCGGGATACAGAGTACAGTCTATGATGTTTCGATTGCACAATGGGGGGTTGTGTCATAGAATGTGGAAGTCGGGGGTCTGTCTGGGGAGCCTCTTGTCTTCTATCTTTGTCAGTCCAGGCTTTGAACTCGGTTTCAATTCTCTGCAGCAAGCGCCTCTCCCCCGTGAGCCATCTCACCTCCCAGGAGAAACTGAATCCGTCACTCAAAGCCTTCTGGGCTCAGATGGACTCTTATGAAAGTGACCAAACATTTAACGATGAGGTAGGGTGAACGGATAACCGAGTGGTCTGAGCCAAGAACAAAAGGCAGTCCTGGATGTGGAGCCAGGGTTCTGAAGGAGAGCGCAGGAGCTCCTGTCTGAGGGGTGAAGCAGGATGGGGTGTGGCCTCACGCTGTCCCAGAATTATTTAAGTGGGAAGGAAAATTCCCTCTCAGAAACAGGAGTTAAGGGGCACTTAGTGAGCAGTAAGTGTCTCACTGGCTTTTGGGTCTTGTCCCTCAATGAGGACGTCCTTTCACGATGACATTATTATTATTTAGACTGGCTTTCGTTATGTAGCTAAGGGTAGCTTTGAACTCATTATCTGGATGTTTCAGTCAAACAAGGGCTAGGGTCATAGTTGTGCCTGGCTTTTTATTTTTCAAAACAGGGTGTCATGTAGGCCAGGCTAGCCTAAAACTCCCTCTGTAGCTCAGGATGACCCGGAACTCCTGGTCTTTCTGTCCACCTCCCGTGGCAGATGTCCCACATCTGGCCCGCGTGGCCCTGGGATGGCAGGCGGGGTCTCCAGTGCTTGATCTGGGATTGTTCTGCCCGCTGAGCCCTGCTCTGCCCCTCAGGCTTTTGTTCATTTCTGCGATGGCTCACTTGGCCCAGGCTGGCCCCTGAGCCGCAGTCCTCCTGCCTCAGGCACGAAGCAGTTTGCGGTCAAGAGTTCAGAGCTGAGGGAGACCCAGCACTCCACTGATGCGTAGGACCCAGGACCAAGCTCGGTGGCTGTGACCTGGTGACAGGCGGCTTCGAGTCCTAGGCAGCTGGAGGAAAGGGCTCAGCCCTTCCCTGGGCCAGGCTGGCAGCTGCTCTCCTTCATTCCCTTCCTGTGACACACGCGGGTGGCAGCACCCACCGCGGCCACCTCCCCGCAGCCCGATGTAAGCTCAGCCTTGCTCTTTCCACCAGGGAAAGGCCTGCCTGCCGTGGCCGAGTCACTGTCCCCTCCGGGTCCCCTGTGCCGCTCCCACTCACCCAGCAGCAGAAGTTTCAGTTCCCCGCGCTCCTGTTTTTTCTGTTCCAACAAAATCTTGTTGATCTCCTGGTCGATTCTGGCCGCGGTCTTCTCCTCGTCCGTCAGACACCAGGGACAGCAGCCCCGGGTCAGGGACCGGGCCATGACCGGCGCCTCACAGGCCACAAGGTGACATCGCCCCTCGGGGCCCCGCACAGCCGCAGCGGGCAGAATGGACGCGGGGGTCACTCCAGAGCCCCTGAGGTTCCTGCCGAGGGCCTGAGGGAGCCCAGGCCAGGCCCGGGTGCCAGGAGCAGGGCGGGGACGGGGTGCTGACTCCCGCCCCCTCCAACTTGCCCAGACCTGGCCCTGCCCGCCCGACAGGTCGGTGGCTGAGGCTCCCCCGGGGAGGGAGGGGTGGCCGCCGCCCGCAGAGCCCAGGCCTCCTTCCTCCTTCCCAGGGAGGGTGGCCTCGCCCCCTCCGGCCACTGACGCTGCCGGCCCCAGCTGGCCCCCTCCCCTGGGCCAAGTAGGAAGCGACCAGTGGGCACAGCTATTGCTCAGGGCTGATTTCGGAACCGCAGAGGCCGCGGGAAGTCTGCTTCCGCTCTGCTTGGGCTGCAGGGCCCTTCCCTCCGCGCGCACACACCCCGATTTGATGATGGCGAGGAAACTGAGGCACGGAGTAAAGGCAGGGCTTGCCCCAGGACAGAGCGGGAGATGGGGTAGTTCATGCCTGGCCCCTTATGAGTAGGAGAGGGACTTATGCTGGCATCTACGTAGCGCCTGCTGTACACCAAGAAGGCTTTAATTTTGCCCCACGTGGGACAAAACAGAACATTTTTGTAAAGTTGGAGGTGACAGTGAGGTGTCACCTTCAGGGGGTGGGGGGACTTGTGCTCCCAGCCTGAGCTGTGGCACCCCGGGGCTCACGCCATGGGAGGGGAGAAGCAGGTTGCACTGAAAACCAAAAGCAAACAAAATAATAAAACTCTCAGGGTGCCACAGATGGGGACAAATTTTAAGACAAAAGTAAAGCAGAGACATTGAAGGTGGCTTTAAATAGGGGGTCAGGAGACAGTCCCAGTGAAGGTGACACTAACGGACTGTGGGAGCTGACTGTCTGGGCTGGCCCTCTCAGGCCCTTCTGATATGTCTGTCCCCTCCCCCAGATCAGAGCAGCCAGGAGCTCCTTCCCTAGCCACTGATGAAGCACTGGTGCAGTTCAGAGAGGGTGTGCGGCACCCCGAGAACACACAGCCCCCCAGGTCTGCCACAGGCCGTTGACAGGCCCACGCCTGCCCCACGCTGGCTGACTTCAGTTGATTTAAACTGCAGCAGATGGGAAGCGTGGTAGGGGCCAGGCAGGGTCACAGAGGCCAGTGGGAGCTGTCCCGCCCACTGATGGGGGCACAACCCTGAGTCTTGTGCTGGAGTAGATGTGGGGGACACAGGGGACATCAGAACCAGCCTGAAGCCTCACTCTGACACCTTCCGTCACCCTCTGCTGGGGTTCCGGCAGGTGGAGCCTGTGACTTCGGGGCCAGCCTGTGCTACAGTGAGACCTCTCAAACTTTGTGGTCTTGTGTTGTCAGCGCCCTGACAACTCTAGCTAGGTCCCTGTACCTCTGTGGAAACGTGTTGTCAACCACAAACAGGAACCTTATCTTTGTTCATTTCTGGTGTAATAGGCTTTTGTCTTAAAATTTAAAAAAATTACATTTGTTTATTTACTGTGTATGGTTGCATTTGCCAGGACACAGGTGTGGAGGTCTCAGGACACCTCGTGAGAGTCACTTCCAGCACCTGGGTTCCAAGGACCAGACTCAGGTGATCGGGCTTGGCTGAACCCTTGCCCTTCTGACATTTTGGGGGCGCTGGGAGAGTGGAGTTAGGTAGTGTGGTGCATGCCAGTGCTTGAAAGCCCTGAGCCATCTCTCCAGTGCCTTTAGTCCCAGCACTCGGGAGGCAGGGGCAGGGGGATCTCTGAGTTGGAGGCCAGCCTGGTCTACAGAGCGAGTTCCAGGACAGCCAGGGCCACACTGAGATACCTTGTCTCGAAAAACAAAACAAACAAAAATTGATCTATCTCCTTAGTGTGCATGGACACTTCTCTGGCATGTGCGTCGGTGACCTGAGAGACCAGAAAAGGGCGTTGGGTTCCCGGGAACCGGAGTCACAGGTGTGAGTGTTAGGATTGAATCCCTGTCCCCTGGGAGCACAGCCATTGCTCACGATCGCTCCCTCCGCCTGACCTGAGCAGGGTATGGGGTGCTGAACAGGCGTCCTGCCCTCCTCATGTTGTCCCTGGACAGCATCTGGCCACGTGGCTGCACTCGAACTCAGGACCCTCCCGCCCCCCCCAGCCGCTGCGGCCTGGTCGCAGCTGCGGACGTCGTCTGGCGACACCTGCTGGACACCAGCGGAACGACAGGCACCTGCGCTGAGGACCTGGACGGCCGTCAGGCTTTCACCTTTCACCTCTTCCGGTCTCACCCACCTTCATCGGGTCTCCACCTGGCTCTGGCCGTCAGGTCCACTCGTGAGTCCTCCCTGCAGACAACAGGCCTGGCGCTCTTCCCGCCTCCCGCTCCCTCTGCTGCAGCCACACTGGCCTGCCTCCTCCGTGCCCCAGCATGCCAGACCGACTCCACACGGTCCCCAGGCCTTTGCACCGTCCCCACCCTGGAGCCTTTGCGGGGGCCCTGCCCTCCCTGGGACCACTCTCTAGTAACAGCACAGCTCTTTGCCTCCCAGGATCCACCCAACGTCTTGACTTTTCTGTTGCTGTGATAAATACTGAGACCAAAAGCAATTTATGGGCAAGAGTTTATTTTGTTTGACTTACAGTTCTCGAGAGTTAGAGTCTGTCGTGGTGGAGATGACAGGGTAGCAGGTGACTAGAGCAAGCTGGCCGCTCACATTCATCACACACTAGGAAAACAGGGCCTCCCCTCCCTCCTCACACACCCAGGCCACACCTTCTAAAGCCATCCTCTCCCTGACCCGCACTGACCTGAGGCCACCGGGGCATTTCTCACGCAAACCGTCACAGTCACCTTCCACAGAAAAGTCCTTCCTGGGGCCAGCAAGAGGGCTCAGCTGACAAAGGAGATTGCTACCACCTCACACCTTCCCTGGATCCATCTCCTCCCTCCCTCCCTCCGTGAAAGCTGCGCTCTCATTGGAGAACCCTGGGGTTGCCTGAGTGTGGGACAAGAGCCTGGAACCCTGCTAGGTGCCACCGTGGGAAACAGCCAAAGGCTAAGGACACCTTCCCACATCCAGGTGCCTGCTAGCCAGATTCACAGAAGCCAAAACTGGAAGTCATCAGGACACACTATACAGATGCAGAGACACACAACACACTCCACCCAGCGGATGGAAGGAATATTGCTCAGCCGTGAAAAAGCTCTGCCGAACCCTGCTCCATTGTGGGTGGTCCTGGAGAACATGGGTCTCAGTGACAGCACAGGCCCAGGTGCCCACACCCAGGAAGCCCTCAGAGACAGGAGGTGGGGAGGGTGGATGCCAGGGGCTGGACACGAGTGCTGAATGGGGACAGAACTTAGAGAAAGGAGATGGAATGTTCCGGAAGTGGGCAGCACAGATGAGTTTCATGCCACTAAACATACAGCTATTTGAATTTTGTGTTCCCAGTGCTGTGGAGGCCACCACTGTCTTCCTTGATTGTCCTACCTTGGTTTTAGACCCTGAACAGCATCCACTCACAGCCTGGCTGCCAGCCAGTCCCAGGGATCTGCCTCTCCCCACATCTGCCTCACTGGGACCACACACGCACCCCACGGGGCCCAGGGTGGCAGGACAGGGCTGAACTGAGATCCTGTTTGCATGGCAAGCTCCCACTCCGCTATCTCCCCAGATAAGCAAGTGACCGGGCGTTGGTGGCGCAGCCTTTATTCCCACACTCGGGAGGTGGAGGCAGGCAGATCTCTGTGAGTTTGAGGGCAGCCTGGTCTACAGAGAGTTCCAGAAGACCTAGAACTACACAGCAAAACCCTCTTGAAAAATAAATGAATGAATAGTGGTGTCAGCAAAGGACAGAAAATCTGTGGCCCAGCCCCGGAGCGGAGGCTGGGGACCGCTGCCCTTCTCGGGGAGCCTGCCAGGCCCTTTCTCTGTCACCACTCGGTCCTCTCCAGGAAAGCAGGTCGTGTGTGTGGAAACACACCTGTGGTAAAGGTGCGACATCAGGTGACCAGGTGAGGCTTGGTGACGCCCACAGGTTCACACAGCAGACAGGCTTGCATACAGGGTACCCCTCTCAACAACAGTCCCCAAGGAGCCAGAGTTTAGGAACAAAGTTTATTCAGATTTAAAACAGAATTCAAGAGAAAGGTATGAAAAGGCGGCTTCGGGAGGCCCTCGGGTGAGGGGCCAAGCCCAACTTGCTGCCTGCACCCTGGCACCCATCCCTCACGGCCAAGGGCCTGCAGGAGCCTGGCACGAGCCAGGTACCCAAGCCTCCCCCCACCGACACAAGGAACATGCTTCGAAAAGGACGAGGGTTAAAAACAGTGTTTTGAGTGTTCTCTTAAATAGGCTTAAGTTGGCTGAAATCAGAGGACTGTGTAATAATATACAAGGGGCACAGCAGCCACTGGATGCCACTGTGGGCCAGGCTCGGGCTCCCCGCCAGGCTCTCCTGCGCACCGGGGCAGACACAAAGAAGCCTGCGTGTTCCCTGCAGTCGGGCTATCCCTTGGTGAGGGCCAGGTCAGACGTAGGGAGGGCAGGTCCCCATTGTGACCTGTGTGGCACAGTCCCAGGGGCCCTAGCATGGATCCCCTGGGCAGAACCTGCCACTCATCACTTGGGCGAGCTGGGCGCTGCCCCGGGCTTTGGCTGTGGCCACTGTGGCCTGGCATACTTAGACGCTGCCTGAAAGGGGCTAACACTTGCCGGCTTGGGGTAGCCCAGCCCTTGGACACCTGTACAGGTCCAGGTGCTCTTTTTGTTGAGTGGCTGATGCCCACTCTTTGAGGACCTGGACCTCCCAAGGGTGGGTGGCTACAATGGCCGTTTGGCTCTGGGTGGCCAGGATGACCCTGTCATCCATGCAGCCCCATCGTGGTTAGGATGGCACGAGATTAGACCCTCATCTGGAGACACCAGAGGGGCCTGGTGTGGGAAAGTCAGGAATCCATGGGCTGGGGGGGCCAGGAATGTGGGTGCTAGTCACAGCCACCGTTCACACCCTGGGGCTCTGCTATGTCCACTGCTCTCTTGTTCCCTTCTGCCTGGGACAGCAATGTGGCCAACTGCCCAGATTGGCGTGTGTCTGAGTGGACACTCTGGGGCCTGGAGTCCAGCGTGGCAGGCAGGACAAAGGCAAGGCCGGATATCCAAGCCCAGAATGCACGTGCAAAAGTAAAGAAGTCTGACTGACAGACAGACAGACATTGTAGTGTATATGAGCAGCGGGGGTGGGGGGTTGGGGGGAAGGGGATGGACTGTGTCCTCTCTGGCCATGGTCACCACCTCCTGGATGCTGGCCCTCGGGCTCGGGAAGCACTGGGCAGCGGAGCAGCAACTGGGCCGGGGTCGAGCACATGGGTGAGGCCACTGCCCGTGTCTGGAGACCTGAGAAAACTCGGAGAGGCCCCTGTCACCCACCTCAGTCACCCCCAAAAAAAGGAAGAAAAAGGCCTGAGCCACGAGGATGGTCCCTCCAGCTGCCCAGCTCCACACAGCTCCTTGGGTCCCCAGGGTCTTTCCTGGCCAGGCCACTGGGAAGCGGATCTCAGGGGCTCAATGCTCCCAAAGGTTCCGCCACAGGCCTAGCCCTGTCTAAGGCAGGGGGACAAGGGTGACAGTCACTCAGAGCTGGGAACCTGCAGCATGTCACCTGCCCTGCCGAGACAGACTGGAAGAGAGTATTTCTCTTTTCTTCAAAAACAAAAACAAAACAAAAACAGTTAGGCACTTCCCAGGGTGGGCACGAAGGCCGCCCACCCTCACTTCTTGGAGTCTGGGGAGCAGATGGTGAGAGTCATGAGGGCACATGGAGATCAATAACTTAGAAAAGGGACAGTCCATGACCCCCAGCCTCCAGCCCTCCTGGGGGAGGACTCCAACTTGGGACCATGGGCTTGGGCTGCAGGGCCCTGACCTTGATCACCCTGTGGCCATGGGGGGACGACTCCTTTGGGAGGGCCCACTGCTGCTCCTCATGTGTCTCCCCCCTCCTTTCTTTTTGTTTGCTTCCTAGGGAAAAAAAAACAAAAAACAAAAAACAAACTCAAGCCACAAGGAGTCAAGGCCGGAAAGAGGCTACCCTTGCCCTTGCGGAATGGTGACAGGGACAGGAAGTGAGAGGGAAAAGAGACACGCCCCAGTCCCATGCGCCCAGGCCCTCAGGTGCCGGGGCCCTCTGTGGTTTGGGTGACCTGATGCGGAGGGAGCTGGCCCTGGGGACGGCCACGCCCAGGTCACACCAGGTTGTACTCCTTCAGGTTCAGCTGCAGGATGGTGTCCTTCACAGCCGCAAACACAAAGCGGATGTTCTCAGTGTCGGTGGCACAGGTAAAGTGTGAGTAGATGATCTTGTCGCTGTCGGGATTCAGGTCCACAAACATCTTCAGGATGAACTCACGAGCAGCCTGGGCGTCCCGCTGCGGCCCTGCAGGGAAGTGGCGAGAGGCAGTCAGTGACCTCCTAGGTGCCTGGCACAGGGCAGTCAGGCCTCAGGGTAATGCCCTGGCACAGGGCAGTGCTCACCGTCGAACTCGGGGAAGTAGTCAACCAGATGTGAGTGCAGGATCTTGTCTTCTAAAAGGTCCTTCTTGTTGAGGAACAGGATGACAGAGGAGTTCTGGAACCAGGGGTAGGTGATGATGGTGCGGAACAGCGCCTTGCTCTCCTCCATGCGATTCTGTGGGCCACTCATGGTGAGCAGGCTAGGCTACCCACGCCTGGCCCCTCCCGGTACCCACGGGCAGCCCCTGCGTCACCTCGTTGTCTGACTCCACCAGGACCTGGTCATACTCGCTTAGGGCTACCAAGAACATGATGGACGTCACGTTCTCGAAGCAGTGGATCCACTTCCTCCGTTCTGACCTCTGCCCGCCCACGTCCACCATCCTAGAGGGAGGTGGCATGACAGCTCAGCATCCGGGGGCTGCCGCAGCCAGGAGGCCGGGCAGGTGCTCCCGCAGATGTACAGAGGGGCAGGGTTACCAGAGCCGGTGTGGCCTTTCCCACTTGAATGATGTCTACACGGCTCATAGCTCCTGCACAGGTTGGGGGCCCACATCATTTCCCCTCCATCTGTGCTGGTCGCGTCTGGCCCGTGGACTTTGCTGGTGGCGTGGAAACCACAGGGCTGCCCCCTGGCCACACCTGGGTGCACGAGGGTGCACCATGGACCTCTGCCCTCACTAGGGTGGCCGTAGCAGCCTGGGATAGGCACACTGCCTTGGAGATATGGCTACATCAGTGCTGAGAAGCACGTGCCTATGAAGGCCACCACAGGGAGGTAAGGACAAGGCAGTGATAGACAGACTGTGTTCAAACCCTGGGAAGGGCTTTAAATGGAGACGGGTCTCTGCCCTGATGTGTCATGGTGCCAGCCACCAGGGGCCTGATAAAAAGGCTGGTTAAAAAGGAATTAAGACTGCGCTGGTTTAACCCCCAGAAACAGCTGACCTACAAGGGTTAGCTCTTGAATCCCAGGCTGATGCCTGGGAATCCAGCATGGGACTGATCCAGACCCCCTGAATGTGGGTGTCAGTGAGGAGGCCTAGGTAATCTATTGAGCCTTGGGTCAGTATTTATCCCGGGTATACAAATTGGTTTTGGACTCCCATCCAACAATGAGAGATGCACTCTCACCCTGAACTCTTGGGGGAGGGTCTAGCTCTGCCCTGGATGAAATGACAGACTATGGACACCCCCTTGGAGGGCCTCACCCTCCCTGGGGAAATGAGGGGATATTGGGGGGATTGGTGGGAGGGTGCAGGAGGAGGGGAAGGAAATGGAGAGGGACCTGGAATTGACATGTGAAGCAACCTTGTTTCTAATTTAAATTTAAAAGTAGAAAGAAAGAAAGAGAGAGAGAGAGAGAGAGAGAGAGAGAGAGAGAGAGAGAGAGAGAGAGAGAGAGAGAGAGAGAGAGAAATGAAGGAAGAGAGAAAGGAAGGAAGAAAGAAAGGCCGGTTAAAACTCAGCTGCACACAACCGGGTGGTGGTGGCGCAGCCTTTAATCCCAGCACTCGGGAGCAGAGGCAGATGGATCTCCGTGAGTTTAAGGCCAGCCTGGTCTACAGAGTGAGTTCCAGGACAGACTCCAAAGCTACAGAGAAACCCTGTCTCAAAAAACCAAAAAACAAAACAAAACAAAACCAAAAACCCCTCAGTTACTCAGCTGTACACATGGGGCAGGGAGGGGCGGAGATGGTACACTGTCTCTGCAGGTCAGGAACCCACCACCACATGCTGGGAGGGGCCTGAGACAACTGTCACCCAAGCCACCCTGACCTCATCATTGGAATCCCCATTCTGACCCTGGTCCTTCTGAGGGTCCCCGTGACACACCTTGTGCCCTTCATTTCACTGGGGCCCCTGGGAGGGACCCTGACAGGTTCTCCAACCACAGACTGCAAAGCCCAGATGACTCCAGGCCTCAGGATCTTCCCCACCCAGCCGACAGCTCCCGGGGCTTCCCCCAGACAAGCCGCTGGGCCATGGTGCCCTAACCATCACCTGAAGATGATGTTTTCCAAGTCAAACGGGTACTCGATGATGCCAGTTGTGGGCACTCGCACCCGCAGCACGTCCTGTTGGGTGGGTAGGTAGCCTACTGTGGCGATCCGGTCCACGTCCGTCAAGTAGCTGTGGCATAGGGATATCTGCTCAGGAGCCAGTGGCACCTGGGACATGCGCAGACCCACACCCACAGAGACAAGGATTTGCATCACATGGAGGCCAGTGGCCTGGTACACCACCCAGACACTACTGGCCCTGGTAAGAGCACATTGCCTCCATAGACCTAGGGACACGTGTCTCACACAGATGATCCCAGGAAGGTACTCAGCGCCCCTGCCCAGGACAGCTGGAGAAGGAGGCCCATGGCACAGGGGACACTTCATAAAGCTCAACTCAGGGTCAGGGTGGCTGTGGGCTTACAACAGGCAGGCCAGACCAAGAGCTCCAGACAGTGGCAGGTGACGCTACTGACATGGGTGCCTGTGTGACAACTTCCTGAGGGTGACGAGGCTGTGGGCGGGTCACACAAGCCACCCAGCCTCGTGGGCTCTCGTTAGCCACACACACCAGCCCCACTCACTACTTAGCCGAGTCAGACAGCTGGAACTCCCGCCTGCGATCGTAACACTCCTGGACGCCAGGGTCGCTCCACAGTGTCTTGATGGCGTTCACATACTGGCGCTCGAAGGTCGTGACCTTTTCAACGTCCACCTCCCGGATCAGGAGTGCATTGGCCTGAGGGAGGGCAGGTGAGCGGGCGGGCCGTGAACTCTTGGGGGAACCATGGCCAAGCAGGGAGCCCGCAGAGCTGGCAGAACAGTTAAAGGAGCCCAGACCTTTGGGGGGCAACAAGGCTGCATGCCCCTTCACCTCCAGGGGCAACTAGGGGACAGTGCCCTACACCCCGTCCTTCCTGACTACACAAACTAAGTTGTGATCCACTGTGTGGGTGGACGCAAGGGCTGAGAGATGAGGAAAATCTGTAGTTCCCTCTTGGTACTCCTTTGTTTTCTGAAACAAGGTCTCTGTAGCCCAGGCTGACTTCAGGGTGTAGTCAAGGATGACCTTGAACTCATCCTGCAGGCCCTGCAATAGCAGACATGTCACCTGAGTTTGTGTGTGTGGTGTGCGTGTGTCTGTGTCTGTGAGTGTGTCTGTGTCTGTGTGAGTGTGTGTGTGTGTCTGTCTGTGTGAGTGTGTCTGTGTGAGTGTGTGTGTGTCTGTGTGAGTGTGTGTGTCTGTGTGAGTGTGTGTATGTCTGTGTGAGTGTGTGTGTCTGTGTGAGTGTGTGTATGTCTGTGTGAGTGTGTGTGTCTGTGTGAGTGTGTGTATGTCTGTGTGAGTGTGTGTGTCTGTGTGAGTGTGTGTATGTCTGTGTGAGTGTGTGTCTGTCTGTGTGAGTGTCTGTGTGTAACCCAGGGCTTCATGCCCTCCAGGCAAGCCTCTCCTCACAAGAATCCAGCCAATCCTGAACTTGCTCCTTCTGAAGCCCCCAGAAAGGGGACTCCAGGCTGGTGCTGCCTCCATGTCTCAGAGCTACCAGGTGGTGGCCTTCAACATCCCAGGCCAGAAGAGGCAATGATTACACATCAGCAGCCCCTGAGGCCTGACCATGGAGGCTCTCTTCCCACGGTGACCTGTCTTGAGCCACTAGGAGCAGACATGGCCCCCAGATGTACAAGGTCTTTACACTGCTCACACAGCAGCCGACACGGATTGGGCTGCATGGGTCTCACTGAACCCTGGAAAGGAAGCATCTGCCCATCTGCCTGTCCTGCTAGGAAGGACCCCAACCATGACCCTTGTGTAAGGCAGGAAGCTTCCAGAACCTGCCTTCATTGGCCTGTTTGTGGGAGGGCCAGAAGGCAGAGCTCATCCACAGTACTGGGCTGCAGCTCCCTAGCTGCCTCCCTGCACCAATGAGACCGAGACTCAAAGGGGACCCTAAGCTTCCAGACAACTACAGTCGAGAGTCTGCACAGACACCAGGCCCAGGACAGCTAAGAGCCAAGGTGCCCCCTTCAGCCATATCCAGGACCACAAGGCCCTGATGACACCAGGGGCTCTGCGGAGGGATGGCAAGCTGCAGGCCAGTTTGGGCTATGAGTGAGACCATTTCTAAAGCACAAGGGTTAGGGGCTTGGCTCAGTGCGATTTCAGGCCCAAGACTCAGCTCCACCGGATTTCAAGAAAAAATAAGCTGGGCACGGTGGCGCACACCTTTAAACCTAGCACTCGGGAGGCAGAGGCAGGTGGATCTCTGAATTCCAGGACAGCCAGGGCCACACAGTGAAACTGTCTTGAAAGACATTTTAAAAAAAGGTACAGGGGGCGGGGTCCCCCACTCCGGGTGGTCACGTGACGTGGGGCTATAGCCCCAGGCTGGCCCTGGCTCCTACCTTGTTCTGCTCGTACTTGTAGAGGATCTTGAGTGTCTCCATGGCGCGCACCATGGCCTGCATGGCGGTGAAGATGTTCTGGTACACCAGCTTGGTGAAGCCACGCTTGTCCTCCTCCGAGTAGCCCGCGCCGTGGATGATGCGCATTTGCTTGATGAAGGTGCTCTTCCCGCTCTCGCCAGTGCCTGGGGACAGAACCTGTCAGCGGCTGTCACAAGTCCCACAGCCCTGCCCACTTACTGTGGGCACTGCACAGTGTCCTTTCTGAAATGCTGGGTCCCTTGGGATCCTACTTGACTCCCATCTGAGGAGTCAGGGCACTCCATGAAGAACATGGGGTGCCCACTCTCCAGTGGCCCCAGACACAGATGCCACGAGCTTGTCCCTGGGCCCTCTGAGTCTCTGAGGCCCTTCCTGACCACCCAGCAGCACCTGGGGCCTTGCCACCAACTTCCGTGACAGAAGGTTATTAATCTCCCACATATGGTCAGCACAGGGGTGCTCACTTAGTTGCCCCAACCCTGGTCTCAGCGTGGGCGCTACCCACACCTATGCCTGAAGGTGTGCTTGGCACTTAGCCCTGGAGGAAATCCCCAGGGCTGGCCCCAGAAAAGCTGCTGGGCCTAAGGCAGAGGGCCTGGGGACATGCTAGAAGCCACCTGCTATGCATGTGGCTCCCCTGTCCCACTGCTCTGAAGTAGCTTCTCTACAGGCCACATATGCTTCAGCTGTGACAGCTCTCGGGGTGCAGTGTGCCTGCAGACGTTACCCCCCTCAGATGCTTCATCCAAATCTGAAAAGGTCTCACATCCCCAAACTTCGGGTGTTATATCAGCCCTCGATACTATTCTCCTCAGGTCAGTCAGGGCTGTATCGAATCAACTCCTTGGTGTGTATGGTGTACATGCACACTTACACACATTCACAGCAGTGTGCACAGCTGTGCGAGCACACACACACGCACACATGCATGCAAAGATCAAGGCAGACACGCACGCGGCTTCTCCACTGTGTCCTCTGAGCCGGAACAGGGAAAGGTACCAGGAGGTGGGGCTGCGGCGGTACAGCGAAGCTGTCAGAAGCCGGAACCACGAGCGTGTGGGTGTTGCGTCTGCCTTTGACCTCACTGCTTAGGGTACGGGGGGGGGATCCTGGGTTGACTAGCTTGGGCTCAAGCTGGCTCAGTGACGTGTAGCTGTGGTGGCTGGGGACACTCCGCACTAACCCTGTCCCCCCGCATGGATGGGTGGATAGATGGGTGGATGGGTGGGAGGGTGGATGGGTGGATGGATGGATGGATGGGTAGATGGATGGGTGTATGGATGGATGGGTGGATGGGTGGATGGGTGGATGGATGGATAGATGGATGGATGGGTGGATGGATGGATGGATGGATGGGTGGATGGGTGGATGGATGGGTGGATGGATGGATGGGTGGGTGGGTGGGTGGGTTGAAGCATGGGGTCAAAGGCACACAGACACTGGCTGTGATACCCACTCATCAGGGACATAGGAGGCAAAGGTACATCACAGAGGTCTTGTTGCCAGAGACTGTGAGATGGGATGGAGTGGCAGTGGCCCTAACATCCTGGGTGACACTGGAACACATGGAGCCACATGGTTGTACACTAGCAAGTTTGTCACCTCCTCACAGGGACCCTCAGTAACCCAACCTGGAGTCAGGTGAAGAAGAACCCGCAACTGCTGTGGACTTCAAGCCACAGCAGCAGCCACAGCCTCAAGCCCCGCCCACAGCCTCACAGTTTCAAGCCTGTATCTATCTATCTATCTATCACTGAGACCTACCCGAGGGAGCGGAATCATGAACGGTGAAGTGGCTTGATGTCATAAAGTCACCACGTGACAGGCTTGAACACACCTGTGGGTTGTGGCTTTAAGGCTCATGACAGTGCCCTGGGTAGTGAAAATCACAGCTATCAGGGTAATGCCAGCCATCAACAGTCGAGGGCCACGAGCACCAGCCTCTGGACTCCACAATGCCATCTTATCTCTGGGCTAGTAGCAAAGTTTCCCAGGGGCCCCAAGGTGTGGGCACTGAAGGCCTCAGGGTCATAGGCCACACTTGTGGCTGATAGTGAAGGTTCGTGTCATCTACTGCATGGCAGCCCAGATGAATCTTCTGTACCTCACTGAGCACCCCCAACCAGCGGGGAAGTCACTCTTTGGCCCACCCCTGGCTGGGCCTCCACAAGCGTTTATGAAACTCTGTAGAGCAAAGGAAGCCTGGTGTGACCCTGTCCTGACCCCAGGCCCGGCAACTCTCATCTGTGGTGACACCTGCTGGCAGGCGTTGTCTTGACCTCATGGTGGAAGGGTTTCTTTGCTTGGCTATCTTTTTTTAGACAGGATCTCACTATGTAGCCCAGACTGGCCCAGAGTTCGCAGATCTGCCTGCCTCTGCCAATCCAATGCTGGGACTAAAGGTGTGTGCTACACCCAGGGAGTCTGAAGGTTTGGCCTCCCAGCCCTAAGCATGGAACAGCAAACCTGCACTGTGGGTTGGAAGTTTGAAACCATCCTGGTCTACATGATAGGCCCAGGTCTCAAGAAAAGTCTGGCCGGGCAGGGGTGGCGCATGCCTTTAATCCCAGTACTGGGGAAGCAGAGACAGGCTGATCTCTATCTCTGTGAGTTCCAGGTCAGCCTGGGCTACAGAGCGAGTTCCAGGATAGGTTCCAAAGATACACGGGGAAACCCTGTCTCAAAAACCAACTAACCAAACAAACAAGCAAACAAATCAGAGCTGGGGCTGCAGCTGAGAGGTGGGCACACAGGAGACCCCGAGGCTCCAGCACCCATAAACTAGGCTCACCAGCATTTGCTCCTCCTACGTGGAGGCAGGAGGATGAGAAATTCAGTGTCATCATCAGCTATGTAGTGAGTGTAAGGCCAGCCTGGGCTACGAGACAGAGAACAAGCCCCATTCATTTGGGCCAGACATGGAGGAGGCCTCACAGGACAGGGTCCCCAGCCCCTCAAGGGCTTCCCTGTGACTCCTAACGATACCCAGCAGTTCAGGTCTTCAAACAGTGCCACATGGCCCTTCAGGACACACTGTGAACTCAAACCGCAGTACTCTGGGGCAGGGATGAAGTTCATCAGCTGTCACATAAGGGACAAGGTTACTTGGGAGGAGGGGCACATTGGGAAGCCCAGACCCTGGCCCTCGTCACTGCTCCTAGGTAGCGCTGTTCCTCATTACAGGGCTAAGTGACGCCCTTGACAAGGGTTGTCCCCACCAGCCACGAGCACTCTGTCAAGACTGGGCTTGGGGCCCACTGCCTACCATGTGGGTCCCCTGCGGATGGCCACGACCGACAGCACCGTACTCCGCAGAGTGACCACACCCTTTTACAAACCCACTTCAGACCTTGTGATGACCCCAAGCTGTGTGCTCAGTGCCCTGCAGAGGTGGGGTCTTGGGACACCAGCCCCACACCAGACTGGGTTACATAATGCAGACAAAACCCTTGCACCTGGCAGCTCGGCACCTGGAGCACCTCAGATTTTGGGGTGCACCTTGGTCCCCAGGCAGTCACCAAGGACATATAAGTGTGCAGGGGAAACTGAATCCCATGGTCCTTCCTACCACACAGGGACATTGCTCCCACTTGACAGATGAAGAAACTGAGGTCTAGATACCCAAAGAACTACTCGTGGTCTCAACCAAAGCACACTCCCACTTTCCTCTGGCTGTCACAGGGCAGTCTGAAGGGCCTGTGGGGGTGGGGGCTGTCCAGGGTGTCCTTGCGGCTGATTCCATTGGCCAAAGGGTCCGCTCCACAGGAGCAACACAGCCCATGGGTGTGGGTGTGGGTGTGGGCGCTAAGCAGGGGACACGGAGCATGGAGACTGTGGTGGCCTGGGCAGAAGCGTGTTGGGGACACGTGTGGTGTCGTCCTGGGGAGCTCCTGACACAGCAGGGGGAGGCTGGGATTCTGTGCAGTCCCTGGAAGGGACCGGGGTGTGGGGAAGAGCATCTCCAGGGGAGGCCGATGTGTGGTGACGCAGGTACCAAGGAAGTGGCAAAAAAAAAATCCAAATGATGCGGAACGGCCGTGGTCAGCAGTGGCTGGGTGCAGGCGCACTCCCCACCCAGCTCTCGACCCACCTAGCCCTGGGGAAACTGAGGCACAGATCTGCACACAGCTACCTAGGGAAGCAGGGACGTGAAACAGTGAAGGCCCAGTGCACACACCAGCCTTCTCCGTGCCGGGCTACTGCCTGGGCAGGGAGGCTGCAGCCGGCACCTCAGCTGTGCTCTGAGCCTTGCCGATCGATCGTTTGGGGGCAGCTACACCTGAACCCACCAGCTCCCGCACCGCAGCCCACACCCCAGCCTGTCCTTCCAGTGATGCCCTGGCTGGCTGGCTGGCTCCTGGGGACACAGGAGTCCCCTGAAGGCTCCCAGTAGGTGGGTGGCAGGGTCCACAAACGCCTCAAGGGCTGAGCTGCCCTCTCTGTGAGCTCGCCATCCTCCCAGGGCTTCCCAGCTGTCCCCAGCAGGGCCATCAGTGCTGAGGTCCTAGCTAGAGCAGGTGCCCACTGCAGACGGTCTTGGGGAAGTGCTGGCACAGGCTGACCCAGGCACCTCTGACCCAGGATAGGAGTCCTCACAAAGTGGGGATATCAGCAGGTACCCCAAATCCTTAGAGATACAATCTGCCCCCTCATTTGGAGACAAGGTCTCATGTAGCCCAGGCTAGCCCTGATCTCCCTCTGTAGCCTGAGATGACCTTGAACTCCTGATCCCATCTTCGTCTTCATGGCCTGCACCCCAACACCTGGTTTGTGTGGTGCAGGGGATGGAGTATGTCTTGCTGGGAGTCAGTTCAAGGACCCCAGGGGGAGAGGCGGCACATCCCTGGCCTCCTGGGGAGTGGCCTGAAGCCACCAGGGTCTTGGGACAGGAGCAGCAAGTGGGAGCCAGCTGAGGCCTCCTTCCCAGGGCGGGAGGCCAGCCCAGCCCTTACGCCACCCCCGCCGGATGGATCCCCGGCCTTTGGCCGCCCAGCCCGGCTCGACTTGGGACAGGAAGCTGGGAGCCAACCGCCGGCTTTATTTAGAAAGCTGGGCCCAACCCTGCCTGGCCTCAGGGACAGGGACTTCCAAGCGAGAGCTCTGGGTGGCTGGCTCCCCAGTGGCAGCACTGCTCGGCCCCAGCCTGCAGCCACACAGGGAGGCAGAGACCCCACAAGGCTGTGCTGAGTCTGAGCACCACAGGGACCTCAGGGCACAGGGGAAGTGAATGCTTGCTCACCAGAAGAGCCTCTCCAGCTACTCCCATGCCCGTCACTGGTCAGCACTGGACAAACCAGGCGTGTGCCACCCAGCAACGGGAATGTGCGCAGAGTCAGTCCAGTGCTGCTTCAGTTCTGAGAACCTGCTCTGGTCACCACGAGCTTTACAAGTTGTTGTTTTACACCAGACACCACCATGCATGACCAGGGGGCGGGGCAGGGGGATCCAAGCCTGGGGACACTGGGTGATGTATCTCACTACCCTGCAGTGCCCAGGACGCCCACCCCGAGGACAAGGTGGCACATCGGGCAGTCACCCGTCTCCCCAGGCCACATGGGGACTAGCAGGAAGGAACGGGACACACCAGTGGACACACCCATCCCCAGACCACTCCCCACAGGTGCAGACACAGGATGGTCGTGGAAGAGGCCAGAGCTCTGCACAGAAGTGGCCCCTCCCAAAGAGACCCCGCCCGCCTTCTCCGAGGTCAGGGTTCTAGGACAGCAATCCCTGGCTGCTTCCACCCCAGGACATGGTCTCCACCCTCCAGAAGGCTGCTCTGAAACGAGGGACCACGTATCGGCAGGACTCCGTGCGGGGAAGTCCAGCAGGTCCCACGGCCAGGCCCCCGGCCCCCCCCCCGGGGCACAGAAACCCCTCCAATGTCGGGATCAAAGGCTACTAGGATGGTCACTTTGCTGAGCGCCATGGACCGCCCCAGTGCCCCAGAGTCAAGGTCACAGTCACCTCCTCTGGGAAGCCCTCCGGTGCTCACAGCCTTACACTTTTGTTCCTGAGCACAAACCCCCAACACCGGCAGAGACACAGACCCTTCTGTGGAAGGGGTGACTGCAGACCCAGGTGTCCTGGAGGGCACAGGGGCACCCAGAACAAAACCTCACAGGATGGAAGAGTGCTACTGTGACCCACGTGACGCCCCTCAGCTGCCAGCCGGTTCAGTCCGGTCACAGCAGAGGGCTGAGAGCACCCCTGAATCTGAGGGGACTTCAAGGCCAGTGCTGGGATGACACACCACTGGGCTCAGTCAGCTGAGGCCATTCTTATCAGGCAGCTCACCATCGTCCCCGGGAGAAAGCTGTGGACCCTCTGCAGAGGTCAGCGAGGGCCACGCTGGGCCTCCCCAGGGGCCACCCAGGGGCCACTGCTGCTCCCCCTGTGCTGGTCCGTCCTCACCCCTTCCTTCCTGGAAGGCAGCTTTGAGGGAATTCCAGCATGTCGGAGGGAAGTAACCAAGGCTCGTCTCCCCCGAGAACCACAGCAACAGGAGACAGTGTCGCCCCCATCTGCCCCTCTCATGGGGCAGCGCCAGCACCACTGTCTCCCACTCCTCCTCCTCTCAAAGGCTGCAGACAGTCCCATCCTCAGGTCCTCCGAGGCCACCTTTGGCCCTGGGCCTCCGTTCCTGGACTGCAGCTCACCCAGGAGCTGGGAGGGGCAGGTAGGGTTCCTCGGTCTGTTTTGTAAACCTCTGCAGGGCCTAGGCCACCCTGCCCTCATTTTGGCCCTTATTTGGGGTGACAACAACAGGACAGCTGGACTTGGGCTCCCTGGCTCCCAGCAACAGGTGGGCCTTGAGGAGTCAGAAGCCCAGTGAGTGGGAGACACACTGCGCTTCTCTGGGTTAGAGGAGCGGACCCGGCCGGACCCAGAGCAACAGGGCAGGGGCAGGGAGGCTGCAGGCTGACTTGTGACAACCCACGGCTCGGTTGCAGAAGAACCCAAAGAAGAAAAGCCACCCACTCTCCCGAACCTAGCTCCAATGGGGAGGAATTCAAAGATCCACCGAACAGGGAGGGAGGCAGGGGAGTAGCCATGAAAGGAACCAGCCTGGAGCAAAGCAGGACCTTTTTGGGGTATAATCCGCAGAGGCAGAAAAGAGGAGGCAACTGTCCTCAGCAGCCTTCAGGGCTCACCCTGAGGCTATGTGGGTAGAGGGGAGAGCAGACTGGAGCGGCAGGGCCAGGGGTCAGCTCCGTGCAAGAATTCTCAGGAGAGACAGAAAGCAAGTCCCCAAGTGTCCCGGGGGCCGACGTGGCCAGGAGATGCAGATATCAGAGGCAGGAGGCTGACCCCGAAGGAATCTGAGGCCTGGGCAACAGGCAGGCTGGCCACGAAAGGGTCGCACAGGCTGAGCGCCGGGGACGGCGCGGCGGAGGCTGGCCAGCGCAGGCCCAGGCCACGGCCACCTGCACGGTGCAGGGCGCAGCGATCCCGGAAGGGATGACCACTGCGGGGCAGCGCTGGCCAGTTGCTCCGGGGACACCCGGGGTGGCCCTGCCGGCCGTGGGCAGCGGGCTGGGGGGTCGCGCGGGGCTGTCACCTAGCGCTGCTGGCCCTGCGAGATCAACCGAGACCGGAGAGCCCGGCGGGTGCGGGCGCCCTGCGCGCGCGGGGACCCCTGGCAGGGCCCGGATGCCCCGGTCGCCCACCCGGCCCCCGAGACGGAGGTCTCCCGGCACGGAACCCGGCTCACCGAGCAGCAGCAGCTTGAGCTCGCGCCGGGCGTCTCGCTTGTCCCGCCGCAGTTGCTTCTCGATCTCCGCGTTGATGCGCTTCGACTCCTTCACCTCGTCGCTCAGGCAACACGCCATCATGGACTCCAGAGTCATCGTCGCGGTCCCCCGGCCGCCACCGGCCCGGCCCTGCCTCGTCCCGGTGCCCCAAGGCCTGGCCCGGCCCCAGAGGGCGTCCGCCGCCCGCGCCGCGCCGCGCAGCGCAGCCGCCGCCGCCGCCACCCGAGGCCGCCGCCACCGAGCGCCGGCGCCCGACGACCTGAAGCGCTGCCACGGGCCCCGCGACGGGCAGGCGGCGCGGCCAATGGGAGGGGCCGCACGGCTGCGCGCGCGCCGCAGGGACGGGTCTTGAGGACGGGCTGGGGGCGGGGCCTTGCCGCTCGGGGGCGGGGTCTGGAGGGCGCGGCGCAGGCGCGGGAGTGGTTGCGTCGACGTGGGAAGGGGCTGAGCGATCCGCAGCTGGGCGCGGACGCCGAGGATTGTGGGAATGGGGAAGACTCTCCAGCCCGGGCTCGGTTCCTCTCGGGAGGCGACGCTTTACGAGGTTCCTCTAGAAAGGCTCCGCTCGGCTCCGCTCGGCTCCGCTCGGCTGCACTCGGCTCAGGGAAATGCCGCTCGGCTTCACTCGGCTCCTCTCGGCTCAGGGAGCCGCCGCTCGGCTGCATTCGGCTGTGTTCGGCTCCTCTCCGGAGCTCGAGGCCGGGAACAGAAGCCCAAGTTCGTGTCTGGCCTGAGCTCCTTCAGCGGCCATCTCCGCCTGCGGATGTGAGGAAATGCCCTGGCCTGTCTCGCTCGTCCATTCTTCAGCAGGCCTACTGTGTGCCGCTCAGAAATGCGCCTGCCGTAGTTCAGGCATTGATGTCACACCTACTGTGCCAGGCATTAAGGGAACGCATACTATATAACTGCCACTTTCAAGGCGATTCATGACCTCAGTGTTTTCCAATATTTAACGCATACCAAGCATGGGTGCTGTGCCTGCTGTATACTAGGCACTGATGTATTTGCATTGTCTGCTATACATCAGACATTACAGAGCACCTGCTGTTAACCAGGCATTAACATCATACCTGCTAAGTGCCAGGAGAGGAATAAGCAGTAACAGGCTGCCTACTGTATGCCAAGCACAGACTTACGGTGTCCCTACTCTGAGGTGGACTAACTCACAAACCTGGGAAGTGTTCTCCTCCTTCCAGAAGAGACATTGAGGACACTATCAGTGCTCAGTGCATTTGGAATGTTAGTAAAAGAGACCAAGAACTTGAAGTCAGGTGCTCTCTGGGGTTCGAGGCCACCTGCAGGAGTGGGGGCCCTGCTCCCCGGTGTCTGTCCCTGGCCAGGGATGCTGATCCCAGCCTTGAGATAAGGGGCAGGGAGGGGTCAAAGTCCCCGTTTACTAGCTGATTGGAGGTGTGGGGAGATCACTCCCTGAAACTGTCTGGCCTTGTCCCCGCCCGCGTGTGCGCAGCCTGACGAGGGGCTCCTGGAGGTCTAAGTTCGACTTGCAGCCCGTCCCGAGTGCCCCGTGACAGGCGTGCACCGCCACCATCACGGCACATCTCTTTTGTCTTCATGTGTGTGTGCAGTTCCCTTTCTCCCCTCCACTTCCAGGCAGGGTTGCACTCTGTAGCCCAGGCTGGCCTCCAACCCACAGAGATCCACGTGCCTCTGCTTCCTGGGTGCTGGGATCAAAGGCTGTGCCACCACCGCCTGGCTTCTTTTCTTATTTTATTTTTACTTTATGTGCAGTGGTGTTTTGCCTGGATTCATGTCTGTGTGAGGGCGTCGGACCCCAGAGCTGGAGTCAGAGGTGGCTGAGAGCCCCTTGTGAGCACTGGGAACAGAGCCCAGCCCTTTGTAGGAGCAGCTGGAGTGCTAACCGCTGAGCCCCACGGGGGGCATATGGTGGACGCCACTCCAGATACGGGCACGGAAGGATTGGTACTTTGAAGTCAGCCTGGGCAACCGGGCAAATAGAAAGAATAGTCCTGGGGGTGGGGGAGACGCTCAGCAGTTAGAGCCCCAGCTGCTCCTCAGAGGACCAGGGTTCGATTCCAGCACCCACACGGTTACAGCCCTGTGACTGCAGCTCCTGGGGATCTGACGCCAATTTCTGGCTCCCTCGGGTGCTGACACTGAGCTCTCCCCACCTCTCCTCTGCTCTGCCCTGTTTGGCGATCGTGGGTCAGGGATCCTCACTTGGTAACTTGTCATCAAGACGTGGCCCTAGGGGCTGAGGGGGCTCAGCCAGTGAGGGCACTCGCTATGCAAGCATGAGGAACTGAGTTCCAATCCACACCTGCACAGGGTGCTGACCGGGTCACCAGGGCCACTCGGTGGGCACCAGGGCCAGCAGCTGCACACGGGCGAGCACTCCCGCAGCCATGTGCCTGGCCATTGCGGGGAGGGATGGACACACAGGGACTGACTGAGGATATGTGACCCAGACTGACCCAGAACTCACAGCAATACTCCTGCCTCAGCCTCCAGCAGGCTGGGCAGGCAAATGTGCCTCCATCCCTGTCCTCAGTGCCTTGGGACCTTTTAGGAGCACGAACCAGGCTAGCCCTATGATGGTGACACCCTGAGTCCCTGTGCCCCCCCAAGTGTGTGTGTGTGTGTGTGTGTGTGTGTGTGTGCGCGTGCCCGCCCAAGGCTGGTGAAGAATCCAAGGAGCACTATTCGTGGTGGCTCCGGACCTTAATCCCAACACTCAGAAGGCTGAGGCAGGAGGATCCCTGTGAGTAGAGGCCAGCCTGGGCCATACAGAGAAACCTGTCTCAAAAGCCCAACCAAATAAATAAATGAAAGTAAAGAATCCAAAAGGCCGGGAGGTGGTGAAGGCCTGTCATCCCAGCAGCCGGGAGGCTACAGCAGGCGGCTGGCGGGGCTGGCAGGAGAGACCGGGAGCCACCCCGTGACCTTCGTGACCCTGGGTCTTGAAACCAAAAGCACTGAGGGAAACTGAGGCCCGAGCAGAGGCAAAGGTCTGGCAACACCCCGACCTGAGGCCCCAGAGTCGAGGTCCAGGTTGCCACACCTGGGCGGCTGCTGCCTCCTCCCAGCCCTGCCCTTGGACCCGGGATGGAGGGTTTATGGGACCCACGTGGGCTGGGGACAAGGTCGCTCCCTGCCCCCAAGCCTGATGGGGCTCACAGGCCCTGGGTGGGGACCCAGGGCCTTTGCACAACCCGGGTATCGCTCCGCATGCCCAGCCCTGAGTACGGTCTCCCGCAGTGCCACACACAGGGCTGTCCCTCCCTGCCTGAAATAAAACATCTTCATTTCCCCTTTATCTTCATTTTTTGAGACATTTATTTTTTAATGCACTGAATTGTTTTTTAAATAATTTTTGTTTATGTGCTTTGGTGCTTTGCCTGCATGTGTGTCTATGTGAGGGCGTCCAGTCCCCTGGAACTGGAGTTACAGAGATGTGTGAGCCACTGTTGGCTGCTGAGGACTGAACCGGAAGCACAGTCAGTGCTCTTAACTGCAGAGCCCACTTAAAAAATAACGTAGGGATCTATGTAGTCCAGGCTGACCTGGAACACACGATTCTCCTGCCTCTGCCTGCTGCGTGTTGTGGTGAGGGACCTGAGCCCGCCACTGTGGGCCCCGCCCCAGCCCCAGCAGGAGGGGTGACTACAATCCCAGTCACTAGGCCATCGCAGGAGAAGGGCCGGCCTGCTCAGCACACTCGAGTTCCCAGGTTGCATCCCCAGCAAAATAAATCCGGCGCCGCTCACACTTGTCCCCGGGTCAAGTAGTTCAAGGCCATCTTCAGTTACACGGTGAGTCGGTGAGTCGGGGGCCAGCCAGAGATGCAGGAGAGCCCTGACAATGAGCAGTGGTGACAACAAAAAATCCTGTGTGACAGGTTACAAGTCTTTGTCATAAACCCCCGCGGCGAGGGGTTGTGGGCATGGTCAGGAGTGAGGCCTTGCCTAGAATCCCCGGGGGAGGAGCGCAGGGCATGGTTAGAGCGGAGCCCCGACTAGAATTCCCCAGTGAGGGGCTAGGGGCGTGGTCAGGGAAGGGGCTCCCCAGGTCACACCGGGGTGCTCCAGGAATGAACTGGGTAGAGGCAGGGACTCAGGTCAGCACCCCCTGACCTGGCTCACTGATCCACGCTAGGTCAGTCTGAAACACCCCATGGAGCCTGAGCTCTCCAAACCCGGAAATGACGTCACCACCCTCCCAGCCTCGGGGTGGGTAGCAGCCAATTCTAGGGAGCCACCACCCCCGTGTGGACGATTCTAGAACTGCATCCTTCGGCGACTATCCAGCATTTCACCAATTTTGATGTTAAAAATTGGGTGTGCAGCCCTCGGGAGGAAGAGGCAGGCGGATCTCTGTGAGTTCGAGACCAGCCTGGTCTACAGAGTGAGTAGGACAGCCTCCAAAGCCACAGAGAAACCCTGTCTCGGAAAAAATAATTGGGTGTGGTCCTGACCACGGGCTGGGGTCCCTGGGTGTTGCAGCATGACCTCTGTCCGCGGGGCGGAGTCCCCACATACCCGCCCAGTCTGCGGGGGCTCCTGGTGCTGAGCAGAGGGGGTCTCTTGGGAGGACCGCCCGTGAGTCCAGTGTTAGGAGTTAAAGCACCTGTGGAACTCGCTGGTTCCTGGTTGAGAAGTGGGTGGACCTAACGCCCACGTCACAGACAGAGCCAGACCAGGGAGGACAGAACAGCGTGTGTTCAAGATCACCCCAGGATCACTCTTGGGACCACGGCAAGAGGTGACTGGCCCTGCACAGGCCATGGACTTCTGGTCCTTGCCAGCAAGCACAGTGTGGCCATCGTCGCCAGCATGCACACAGTGTGGCCATCACATTCTTGGCAGCTCAGTGCCAGCACTGGGCATAATTCTCCCAGGCCAGCTCCAGTTCAAATCTCGCTCTTCCCAGGACGCTGTGTGTGCTTAGAGCGGTGTATTGACCTCTCTGAGCCCTTCAGAGCACCATCCCAGCTTCCTACTGGGAGACCCCTCACCTCCAGCTTACAGAACTCACATGCTCAGACCCTGGTTACTGGGGACACTGGGAGTCCAAGGGACAGGCAGGGCTGCCCTCCCACTGTCCTCACCTGGCAGAGTCAGGGAACCAAAGATGGGCTCTGGCCTTTCTCATTACCAAGATGTTTTGTTGTTGTTGTTGTTAGTTTATTTTAGATTTTTTTCCTCATTTT